AAAGAAAACATTGTTTAGATATTGATTATGCTCTGTGTTATGATTATTATCTTGACATCCTGCATTACAATCATGTAGAAAATGTGTTTTTCGGACTCCATCCACGTTTGTTAAAGAAACAATTCTGCGACGTGAAGTATCTTGATGAAGAACAAATATCGGACAATTTACTTTTATGTGTTTTCTCGATGTATCTTCAAACCAATCAACATAAACAAACGGGTAATAACTGCCGTCATTGTTCTTGTGCTTAAAGATACCTTTAACCATCGCATAACCTTCATAATTATTCACTCGAATTGTTACCACATCATTCTTATGCAAATGGTATTTAATTTCAGTGTAACCATCATTTTGCGTATAGGATGCGCTTTCATAAAAGCCATAATACTTGCTAATTAGCGATGCATTATATCCGAAATCTTGATAAGCAAGAGCCAAGTCAGAACGAAATAAAGCTGTGTCAGTTTTAATTATTTGCTTATAAGAAATTATTGGCTTTTTCAGCTTTATATTTTGAATATGGTTGGATTGGGAACATACTACCATATTAAGACATATAAAGATTATTAATAATAGATTGTAATTACAATAAATAATTAAAATCATTAATAATATATAATAATAAGTAATATTACTGTCTGATTCTTCATTATCATCGTCTAGCACATTTTCTGTAATAAACCAATTCCTGAATAAATGCTTAGAGTCTTGAAGCATGTTAACAAAATCGTTATTAGATCGTGAATATCGAGGGTCAAGCCCACCGTCTATTAAATGCCGAATAGACTGAAGAGTCGTGTAACGTTTTAATAACTCAAATTCAACATTCTTGCGATTGGTTCGCAAAACCATATTTTTAAAAATGCGGTGAATCATCTCTTTGATTCCAACCTCAGTGTTCACAAGAGTTCCAAATGTACGTGCATGTCGAGGTAAATGATAACAGGCGTGAAGATTAGGAAGACCCACAAACTCTGAAAACAACTATATCCAACGTAATTTAGTAATTTTAAATACTGTATCATTGTATTTATTCGCCATGTATACCCTACCCGAAACAATTGTTTTAATACCTGAGTATCATATAGTACTCTACTTGAGAATTCAATTACGATCCGATTTGTATTACGTATCATTAGAGTACTTGATTATCAGGTTTTTACTTGATTTTGTTGAGTACTAATTATGTATATACATATACCAGAATGTAACCGCCCCTATATGCCACTATAATGTCAAATCGTATACCGATACAGATATAGTTTTAGGTTAATTGCTTTGTAATAAATCACATGATTAAAATAAAATACATACCACTAAGCTTTAGATGATTCCCAAAGAAAATAAAGCATGGATAAATAATATAGGTCCTCATATATAAATAAAATACGGCCTTCAAACTACTGCAGAATACGCATGGCGAATAAGTATAGTAAATGTTATTATAAGCTTACCATAGTCAAGACTTCTCTTTCTTCTTTTAGAATCTTTTCAAGTTCTTTGTAGTCACTGATTGATAATGGAAATTTAAATACTAAGCGAGTGCATTTGGCCACAATCGACCAGCAATTAATGATTGCATTAGCCACTTGATTGCGCTGCAAGCCTGATCGCCTTTGTAATTTTACTAGTTCTGTTGGTTTAAAAGAGTTTGCATCCAATGATCTATTTAATATAAATGGCATTACCATTCCTAGCCGAATACAGTCTGACATCATAAAACTTTCAACATGACTTATAGGGTTTGGAAGTTTTGACCATTGATGAGGATATTCGAATGACTTCCAAACCCTGAGAAATCTTTGTTCACCAACCAGTGATAACATTGCGACAGTTAATTTAAGAAGTTTTAGTGTTTTACCGGCCATTATATGATAAATGTCCTGGGGTGACTGGAGATGTCGTTCACGTTGAAGTTCATCAAGTATTGGAAACCATTTTTGTAGACCGTATCTTTTGGCAATGTCATTTTGTTGCGTAATCGTTGGTGCTGCAAAAATGTCCTCAAACTGAGTATTTGTAATGTGGTGATAACGGGAAATGCTGGCAATATCTAAGTTTTCGTCTGTTAAATTTTCTCTTGAAACTAAACATGTCCTGCATCCTCTCGTCGCACCATGTCGCTTTACTCCTACTAAATCATTACCCTGGAGGATAGGGATAGTAAAAAAAACAGGTTTAACCATTTTTCATTGATTTAAAACAACTGATGATTTAAAATATTTAAATCTGGATTTAAATATAGTTAATATTTTAATCATCACTTGTTTTTAATTACATAACAAAAAACTTTTGCCATCTTACCTGGGGAAGATCCGCTGTAGTGCATCCAAGACTGGCAACGACCCAGTAATCATTTCCTTGGACATTTATTAGTGTCCCTCTCTCAAATTGCTTCATATCCGAGACAAACGGACGAATAAAATCATTAAAGTTCCCTCCAAAAGGGACAAACCCTAGGACAAAGTGGTTGCGTAAATGCTTTCTAACATCGAATGGCATGTTTCCTAGTTGCACATAGACTCCGCCTAAAGAATGATAGGCATTCCGATATGTACCAAAATCATCATAGTAAAGGTCAATAAATAACTTTAAAATTTTAAGATGGTTATACTGCGGTGGCGGTGCAATTAAAGTAGTATATTCACATGGATGCATATAATCTAAATTTACATTCCGTAGTTTCCAATGACCATTGTTTTTATACAAAATTTCTTTAATAAAAAGACCACTCAAAACGTTTGAAGTGCGAACAATTGAGATATTAATCCTTTTAATAATTTTGTTTGTTTCAACTATAATACCTCCTTCCGCCAAATATTGATCTACTAACCACAACTGTGATTCTTGCGTAGCAGACCGTGCGCTACTATGAAAGTTGGCAGGTAATTCGTTATATACGTAAATCCGTTGGATTTTTATGTGAAGATCATTGTTAATAGAAATTATTGAACGTATTCGTCCAAATCTTCGCTCATTATTTTCTATATATATAATAAATTCTCCTGGATGATAATGTTCTGTCATTATAATTGTATTCATATTACAAAAAAAAACGTTATATAGTAAGAATAACATAAAATTTTAAGCAATTATTTTATTATCACACCTAATTATTCTAGTAGTGATAACTTTAACGTGACTATGCTTACAAATAATATAAAATTAATACCTTGGTTAATAATTATTTTATCTTGGCCGAGTAATGGCGACTCAGCCCAAAGATCGCCATGCCAATATTCCTTTTTATCTTCAACTTCAATCCCTGGTCCAAAGTATAATGTATTATATAGTGACGGATTGTTCAAGATATTCCAAATTATATCGAAAATAGAAAGGTAATAACAAGGCTTCATTTCTTTAGATGTTGATGGGGTTTTTTTTTGGCTAATGTTTACAGAACGTGTTCTTATTGGCATCAACGGTAATCGATTTCTCCAGCGCCGAAATCTTCTTACATTCGTTACAATATCACCAACATTGAAAGCTGGATTTTGTAATATACGTACAAGATCATTATACGCGCCTGTTGCTATAAAATATATTATCAGTCATTATTACGGTTTTAATTATAATAAGGACATATCAAGTTAATTTTTTGGTTCTCACGACATAAAATTAAAAAAAACCCGGCACCCAGCTTTTAATCTTTTGAAAAAGTTGCATATAAAAATTTTGACTTGATTTTTAAAGACCATCTGGGTAATAAATACGCTTGAACTTTTTTTCTTAAGCTTTAGTAAAATGTTTACCTAGCCGAGTTATGAGAACTAAAAAATTAACATTGCTTGGCCTAAGTTATTGTATTAAATAAAAACCTACACATATTGTGCTTCTGTATGTAGCAAAATAGTAATGCAGAGGTCGGATTCTCAAAGTATGATGCAGTATTCAACATCTGGTTTATACCCATCGGTGAGTCAACAATCTGATCTTCATCTATAACATTATCATTATTACTGTCGCTATTGTCATCCTCCTCCATTACGTAGTCATCCTCTAGCATTCCTATTTCGTCCAGCGTTCCAATTTGCTCAATTTCGTCTTGCAGATCACTCTCATCTTGGGAATCAATTTCATTTTGTGAATCCATTTCATCTTGCAGATAACTCTCATCTTGGGAATCCGTTTCATTTTGCGAATCCATTTCATCTTGCGAATCCATTTCATCTTGCGAATCCATTTCATATTGTGAATCCAGTTCATCTTGCGAATCCATTTCATCCTGTGGTTCCTCTTTGTCACTTACATTTGATTCTATATAAAGATATAAAATATAAGATACAAGTGTAAGTTTTCATAATACAGATCAACAAGTTTTTTTGAATAAGGTAAATTTGAGTATTGGGGCAGCTATGGATTAAATAATATTAACAATAACCACAATATCCATGACAGCCTTAATACCCATATTTACTTTATATTTAAATAATCCTATTACCTAATTTAAATACTCCAAAGCGGTTACATTTTAAAAGAATATTGCGATTAGAGAAGTTCGTATTTTGACGCAAAGATAATGAGTTAGTTGATGGAGCACGACCTCCTTTATGGCTTTTGCGCATTTTTAAAGTCTTGCGTAAAACTATTCTGAACAAAAGTCGAAAAGATATGTTTGGTTTGATGAGAATTTTTGTTTTCAATTGGTAAAAGTTAACTTTGACTCTGTCGAGTCTAATTCTATAGGCTATAACCTTCTGATAATAATAAATGATGTTTAGCTTTTTAATAAACATTCATATATAATTGGAAATATAAAATGACATAATAAATTCATGCAAGGGTTTTTTTAACATGCGCATAAGATAATTTCCATATTTATCTTGATGCATTAATTATATAACATACAATACATAGTACGTATGCAATATGACATATACAGTATAGTCAATTAAATATCAATTAAAGCGATTTCTCTTGAATAAATAATTTAAGAATTTAAAGGTTCAATTAAACCACAAAAAGAAAATAAACATTATTTGCATTTTCAAGGTCACGGATTAGTTAAGTGTCGTATATTAAGTTAGTGTTAATTGAGTTACAACCTATTTGTCTTGAAATTATAGTAAATATGGAAGCTTTCTCTATTAGATGTTGCTAAACTATTACGTTTTATTTTGAATATTAAGGCGAAATGGTAAAAACAAGAAAACAAAAAAGACCAATAACTGAAGAAATTAATGAAATCAAAGAAACAAATCAAGTAGCAAGAGGGCAAAGTAAGTATTGATTGATAAAACTTGTTGATTATCAGTATAAAAATTAGAATTTGTTTCATATTAAAAAAAATTATTTAATTAGGAGGACGTGGAAAAGGAAGTCGTGGGAGAGGGAATAGCGGAACAGGGAATCGCGGAACAGGGAATCGCGGAAGAGGGAATCGCGAAACAGGGAATCGCGAAACAGGGAATCGCGGAAGAGGGAGCCGTGGAAGAGGGACAAGTCACGAAGGTCAACGTGATAATGAATATGAGACAAGTGTCGAACCTTCTACTCAAAATATTGAACCCAATGACTCTTATTCAAATTATGAAAAAGAAATTGAATCAGTTAACGGTAAAGAAACTAAGACTTGTAAAATTCTACGTTTTAATAAATTTACCATACTAATAAC